GACTTCCCTGTTCTGCGTCTACACTCGGACAGAGGCGGAGAGTTTTCCTCTGGCCTACTACGAGCCTACTGTCGCGCACGAGGCATCCGTCAGACCTTCACGCTTCCGGACTCACCGCAGCAAAATGGGATTGCTGAGCGCCGCATTGGCATGGTCATGGACGTCGCTCGTACGTCTATGATGCATGCGGCTGCCCCCCATTTTCTGTGGCCGTTTGCGGTCAGGTACGCGGCGCATCAGATCAACCTCCACCCCAGGGTCTCCAGACCGGAGACCTCCCCAGCCTTACTGTGGACGGGGAAGGTTGGCGATGCGTCGGCGTTCCAGGTCTGGGGATCTCGGGCGTTTGTCCGCGACTTGTCTGCGGACAAGCTGTCCCCTCGTGCTGCTCCTTGCGTCTTCCTGGGGTTCCCCCCTGACGCGCCTGGGTGGCAGTTCTACCACCCCACCTCTCGACGTGTTCTGTCCTCCCAAGACGTCACGTTTGACGAGTTGGTCCCCTACTAGCGCCTCTTCCCCTACCGCACTCCGTCCCTCCCCCCACCCCCGCTCTTCCTTGTACCAGGTCCCCCCCAGGTAGACTCCCTCCCCCCTCAGGGTCCTCCCCCTTCAGGTGTGTCCCACGTAGACGAAGTCGAGCTTGTCGAGGTCACTGGTGACTCTGGTGCTGCTGGGGGTGCTGAGCCTGGGGGTGCTGGACCTGGGGTTGCGGAGTCTGGGGGTGCTGAGCCTGGGGGTACTGCGTCTGGGGGTGCTGAGCCTGGGGGTACTGAGCTTGGGGGTGCTGAGCCTGGGGGTGCTGAGCTTGGGGGTGCTACGCCTGGGGGTGCTGAGCCTGGAGGTGCTACGCCTGGGGGTGCTGAGCCTGGAGGTGCTACGCCAGTGGGTGCTGGGTGTGGAGGTGCTCCGCCTGGAGGTTCTCCGGGTGCTTCTTCTCGCCGGGAGCCACTCTCTTCACAGGAGCTGCGCGAGTGGTTTGCCCGGCGCTGGCGCCGTTTTGCTGGTGCTGGAGGTTCTTCGGCTGCTGAGGGTACTTCGGTCGCGGGTCCCAGAGGTGCTCGTACTGGGAGTACTGGAGCTGCTGGGCCAACGGGTTCGACTGGAGCTGGTGCTGCTGAGGGTGTTGGCGCTGAGACTACCGCTGGCGGTCCTACTGGGGGTGCTCCTGGTGCTGCTGGAGGTGCTGGTGGAGCGGGTGCTCCTGCTGGGGATACTGGTGCTGTCCCTGCTGCTTCTGGCGTTGTCACGCGGCCTCGACCGTACTTTGTTCCACTCCTACAGCAGGTTCTTGGTCTTCCTCCTTCTAATGGTCCTCCTCCTCCCTTAGAGTGTCCACAGCCTGTCCTGTCACAGTCACAGCTACAGCCTGCCTCCGCTCTGCCTGCTCTTTCTCCCTACGCTGGTCCTACTGGAGGTCTTACTGAGCGTCGTGAGCCTACGTCTCGTCCTGCGTCGCCTGTTAGAGCTGCTCGCGCTAATGGTCGCAGTTCGCGCCAGCGTCCTCCTCCTGTCCCTGGCACGCACCGGATGTCTCTGCGTCTGTCTACTGCTCCTCTGCGTGCCCCTTTGCCTTCCCCTCCTGAGTCCTCTCTTCCTGCACTTGCCGACCCTGAGTCGGACTCTCTTCGTGCTGCCAGTCCTACTGTCACGCGTCTCCTTGCTACTGCTGTCACTGACCCTTCTTTCGAGTCTACTGCTGCGTCTGCTCTCGTTACTGAGCTCGTCGACTTTGCTGCTCGCTGTCGCTTAGACTACGCTGCTAGTCTTGTCGCTGAGTCTGAGTCTGTCTGTCCTCCGTCCGTCGGGGGTGAGTGTGCCCTTGGCACGGACGTCCTTGAGGACAGGCAGGAGGAGTTCCAGTGTCTGGCAGCTGCTTCACCTCATCTCGTGTCCGTACTGCTTACCCCTGAGGGAGACCCGGATGCACTTGACATCCCGACTCCGCGCTCTTACGCGGAGGCGATAGAGGGTCCCTACTCCTCTCAGTGGCAGGCAGCTATGGATGCAGAGATGGCTTCCTGGAAGTCCACAGGCACCTACGTTGACGCTGTCCCCCCTCCTGGGGCGAACATCGTCAGTGGCATGTGGATCTTCAGGGTGAAGCGGCTGCCGGGTTCTCCGCCTGTCTTCAAGGCGCGTTACGTGGCTCGTGGCTTCAGTCAGCGGCAGGGAGTTGACTACTTTCAGACCTTCTCCCCCACCCCGAAGATGACCACTCTTCGGGTACTGCTGCACATTGCTGCTCACCGTGACTACGAGCTCCACTCTCTTGACTTCAGCATAGCTTTCTTGCAGGGCAGCCTGCACGAGGAGATCTGGCTGCGCCGCCCACCTGGCTTCACTGGGTCTTTCCCTCCTGGTACCCAGTGGAGTCTCCGGCGTCCAGTCTACGGTCTCCGCCAGGCGCCACGTGAGTGGCACGACACACTGAGGACTACGCTTGCGGCTCTTGGGTTTGCTCCTTCTACTGCCGACCCGTCGCTGTTTCTGCGCACCGACACCTCTCTGCCGCCGTTCTACATCCTCGTGTACGTCGACGACTTGGTCTTTGCCACAGCTGACACTGCTTGACTCGCCTACGTGAAGTCCGAGCTTCAGAAGCGACACACGTGCACAGACCTGGGTGAACTGCGCAGCTACCTTGGCTTGCAGATCACCCGGGACAGAGCACGCCGCACCATTACCCTGACTCTGTCACACATGGTGCAGCACGTCCTTCAGCGCTTCGGCTTCACGTACTCCTCGCCTCAGGCCACTCCTCTGCCTACTCGCCACTCACTCTCAGCTCTGCCTTCGGATGAGTCCGTAGAGTCGAGTGGCCCGTATCCAGAGCTTGTTGGCTGCCTCATGTACCTGATGACCTGCACACGACCTGACCTTGCATACCCTCTTAGCATTCTTGCACGCTATGTTGCTCCTGGGTGACACCGACCAGAGCACATGGCTGCAGCGAAGAGGGTGTTGCGCTACTTGTGCAGTACGTCGGGCATGGGGCTAGTGCTTGGAGGGCGGAGTCCAGTGGTCCTCACTGGGCACGCGAACGCTTCTTGGGCTGACGACCAAGCTACGCAGCGGTCGTCACAGGGTTACACCTTCAGTCTTGGTTCCGACTCTGTTTCGTGGCGGGCTACCCGCTCGTCTTCTGTTCTCGGCTCGAGTTGTGAGGCTGAGATCTACGCCGGGGTTATGGCTGCCCAGGAGCTTCGCTGGCTCACCTACCTGCTGACCGACCTTGGAGAGCCGCCTCGTTCTCCTCCAGTCCTGTACGTAGACAACAAGGTCATGCTGGCCTTGTGTCGAGAGCAGCGACTGGAGCATAGGACAAAGCACATTGCTCTCTGTTACTTTCTTGCTCGTGAGCTACAGCAGCGTGGACAGTTGCGGCTTGCGTACGTGGCCTCTGAGGCCAACACTGCTGATGTTTTCACCAAGGCACTTGCGCCTTGTGATCATCAGCGCTTCTGCACTCAGCTGGGTCTTGTGCCTGTCTTGCCTCACTTGCTCACTTCTTGACCTTGCTTGTACTGTCACATATATATACTCCTGCTCTTGCTTGCTTAGCCTCGTATATATATATATGTGCTCTTGCATGTGAACTGGCCTTTTGGCCTTTGAAGTTGTGCTCGGAATTTGTGGTGACTTTGTGATCCACCCTGAGCTTTGCTTTGCTTTGCTTGACTGGTCTTGTGACCCCTTGTTCTCCCCCACTTTGCCTATGGGGGTGTGTCAGAACATTATAGCTTATGCTATTGTGTAGGCTATAGTGGGGTATCCCATAGGGGGTACAACCCAACTAGGGTTTCATATTTGTACTCGCTTCATTCATAGTTCACATCATTCTCGTTCTAATCTTCTCAACACCCACCTGCCGCGCTTCTGCACAAAGATTACCCACTCGGAAGCCATCGCAGTTGATGCGTTCTCGATCACGTAGACATCCGAAAACAACCTAGCCGTCCTCCACCACGCACAGCGCACACATGAATCACTCATATTGATAGTCCCGCACTGTCCAGGCGCAAGCTGGTGGCCCCTTTGCAACCCCCCCCCATGCACTTGGGCTCCGCACATCCACACGCATATCCGTCTGACACACAGAATCCAATGCCTTGATACATGGTCCCATTCCACTGCCTTTTCGGGCACGGGGCTACCGCACAGCCCAATCATTGCACTTCGAGTGGTATTTGACTAACTCATCATGTATACACCCTGTGTTCATATCTGCTCCCAAAGTTACACAACCAACTGATTAACATGCTCGCGCGGTCTCGAGCCAATTCTACAATCTGGACATTCGAACCATACCGGTCCAAGTTTCGAGCCTTTTGCACAGAAGTAAACCTCCCATGTCTTCCAGTATCCGACATGACCCTCGCGCAATACCTGGTACACACAATCTGACACAAAGCCACCCTGTCCGTAGTGCAGCTGACGTGCTCGGCTGTTAGCTTCGCCCATCGCATAACTGGCGGACCGTTCACTACCGAAGTCCGTGACTGCGCAAAACGACACTGCCCTCGACCTACTCGTCTGGAGGATCCAATATCAATCCAACAAGTTCGGGACATGGCTGAGAGTTACTTGCAGTCCAACGATCCTGCGCAATTTCAGAAAGGGTTAATCCCCATCCTCATGGATTCGGGATTCTTGCGATACTCTGGCCTAGTAGCTTTAAAATGACAGAACATCCAATTCGACGAAGATGTCATGTAGATCCTCATACCAGACTCCAAGACCGATCAAGTTGGTCATGGAACATGGATACCCAGTTGTAATGAGAACGATGCCAATTGATAAGAATAAGAAAGCAAACTTTCTCAATTGTCGAAATACAAATAGCAACGGGTTGTACGAACATATATGTATATATATATATATACATAATTTGACACGGAACACTTTTAACAGTAACGGGCGAAGAAACGGTTGGTCTTGTACGCGTTGCTGAGATTCTCAGTAAGGAATGCCGAAATGAGAGATTATACACTAACGAAGAAATGGAACCTTTTACACGGAATATGAGGTAAATGATATCTATAAAGATAGGAGAATCCTATGACGAGGCACCAAACACCTCAACCCCTTCCAAACTCCACACCCAGAATCCTACGAAGCCCGTCACCTACGCGACTAGAGGCCATATCCTTTCCTCGCACCCGCCAGTGCAGCTATCTCGTTTCTGCCCTTCACCCCACGTAAAGTGCAGCTTTCTTTTCAGCGCGTCGCACCGCATCGTCGCTTCAGCTTGCCGTCTCCGTTCCGTCGTTCGCCGCGTCGTCCGGCGACACCATGTCGTCGCTACGGAATGTCGTCAAACGGAAGGCGCACAAAGAGCGAGCCCAGCCGTACGCTCCGCTGCCTTCCCTCTCCCGATCACCCCCTCACCCCCTCCCCCGATCACCCCCTCACCCCCTCCCCCGATCACCCCCTCACCCCTCCCTTTCTTAGTTTCCAATAATTCGTTCCTCTTCATTGTCGTCGCAACGGCTTCGCCCGTCGAACATCTTTCCGCATGTCGCAAGCGGGGAGGATCAGCCGCTTTCTCAGTCCCCCCGCCCTAGACCCCACTTTCCGCTCCCCCTCGACCCCACCGACCCGTCCACACTTTAAGTCCTCCCCACTCTTCCTCTCTCCCCTCACCTCCATCTCCCGTCCTCTCCCTCTCCCCGTTCCCCTTCCCCTTGCCCTTCCCCTTCCCCTTCCCCTTCCCCGTCCCCCTTCCCCGCGGGCGGCAGGGTGGCGCGGCGGCGGCTGGGGCTGTTGGAGAAGCACAAGGACTACGTGCTGCGCGCCAAGGACTTCCACCGCAAGGAGGACGCCATCCGGGTCAGCCAAGGGTTGGGAGCAGGGGGAGGGGGATGGGGAATTGGAGGGGGATGGGGAATTGGAGGGGGATGGGGAATTGGAGGGGGATGGGGAGGGGGAGGGGGATGGGGATGGGGATGGGGAGGGGGATGGGGATGGGGAGGGGGAGGGTGTGTGCGAGTCTTTCTGCGTGTGCGTGGTCTCTCTCTCTCTTTCTCTCTCACTCATATTCGTTCGCCTCCCCACCTCTCTCTTTCCTCCCCCCCTCCCCGTCCCTGCGCACATGGCGCCGCGTGTGCACACGTGCGGGGCCACACGGCAACAGACAATGAGGGAGAAGGCGGCGATGAGGAACCCCGACGAGTTCTACTTCAAAATGGAGCACTCCCGCCTCAACCGCGGCCGCCACGTGTGAGACCCGCTGCCCCTTTCCCTCCACACCACACCCCCCCTCCTCCCCTCCTCCCCTCCTCCCCTCCCTCCTCCCCACCCCCACTCCCCCCAACCTCCCCTCCTCCACCACGCGTGCACGTGTCTCCGTCGCTGCCACGGCCAGAGCGGGGATGGGCGCTGCTGGAGAGGTTGATGTTCCTGGTGCCACACACGGTGTGCTGGATGTGGGGGGAGACGGGGGAAGGGAGAGGGCTGGCGGAGGGGGAAGGAGGAAGAGGAAGAAGGGGAGGGGCGGGAGGGGGGAATGGGCGGTGAGGGAAGGGAGGGGAGAGGAAGTGAAGGGAGGTTCGGGGAGGGAGGGAAGGGAGGGGAGGGGAGCGGAAGTGAAGGGTGAGTGTAGAAGGGAACATAACCTGGAAGGAAACCTGCTCTGCACGCATGTGCCCATGCACACATGCGCTGCCATGTCACCCACCCATGTTCAGCCATGTTCATCCGTTCCCACCCATGCCCTCCATGCTCACGCATGCCACATGCCACTGTCTGCATCATCATCACATCATCACCCCCCTCTCACAGTCTCACTCTTCTTCTCTGGTGTGCATGGCGGCATGGCAGGCGAGTGGAGAAGGAGGAGTGGACGGAGGAGGAGGTGCGGCTGATGAACTCACAGGACATGGGGTACATTCGCACCAAGTGGCAAGCCGAGCAACAGGTGTCACACACAATGCCGCACCGCACATGTGCTGCTGCATGCCACGCATGTGCTCTGTGTGCCACATGTGCTGCATGCCTGTATGCCATGTGCCACGGCTGTCAGCTCTACACGTGCACCAATGTGCGCTTTCCCTCTCTCTCTTGGCCCTTCCCTCTCTGTGTCTCCATGTTGCCATTTTAAACCCTTCTCCTCCCCCCCTACATATGCACCTGCCCTGCGTGTGTGCGTGCGTGTGTGTGCGTGCGTGTGCGTGCACCTCTACGTATGTATGCATGCATGTGCATGGCAGAAAGTGGAGAGGCTAGAAGCATCACTGCATAGGGTGGATGAGCCGCACAGGAATAAGCACCTCGTCTTCGCACACAGGCAAGCTGCCATGTGCCGTGCATCATGTGCCATGCCGCTTACTTGAGCCATGTGCCACATAGCTTGCTGCTCATGCCATCCCACCGCATCTGCCAGGTCCCTTGTATGTGTCATGCACTGCATGTCTACTAGCACGCCATGCGGTTACGAACTAACGGTTATTGTGAGGATTGTGCGTCAGGCTCTGTAGTCACCTCCCTTGCATACATGTTCACAGCCCAGCCCAGGCCAGTTACTGACTGACCTCCGCGTCTGCTCTAGCCCTTGCCCTCTCATGCACATCCCATGCTTGCACCATGGAATGATGGAATCGGTGCCAGCCCTGCGGCGTGCGCCCATCCCTGCCATGTCACCATCCATCCCCGCACTTGGCCCCATGCAGTGACAACGACGCCACACCACCCTCCAAGCGCCAGCGCCGGTCCTTCTCACCGGAGCGTGAGGCCACTCCTCCGCCCGTCACGAAGCCCCTCAACTCACACCTGAATCGGTACCGTGCCAACCATTGCGCCACACGTATGCTGCACACGTACACATGCAACTCACTCACGTGCCGTTTTTGCAACTCTCATTATTTGCCCACTTGCTTATGCTGGTCCGTTCGCATATCGCAGTTGCTTCTGAAAATTTCCCCCAAGGTGAAACAATACGATTTCCGTAAATACGGTCCTTCTTTACAACCACTTCAAAAACAAAAAAAACGGCCGTTATTTTTTCTTAATAACTTGGTCTCTCTAAAAATCAAAACTTCGGCTATATTTCTATCATGGCCACAAAGGAAAACATGCAAAGCAAGGCTAAGAAACGTGTCTACTACAACTTGACGAACCAGTCATACCCCCCTCACTTTCACCTATGGGTTGTTGCCCTTCCTTCTGTGAAAGAAAAAAGGGGGGCAACAACTGGAACTTGGCCGTTTTTGCTTTTGGCAAGCACAAAACACCACCTGGAACCGTTTTAAAGGCCGTTCTATATGATAGCGTGTTTACGGTGATTACTCCTCCTACTCGAGCCCTACATCCCCCTTGACTTTTCCCTCTTCTCTTTGCCCTGCGTCATCTTCCCTACCGCCTGGCCACCCATGGGTGGGCAGGCACCGGGAGGCATTGTATGGGGAGCTGAAGGAGCGCAAGCAGAGGGCGCGGCGGCTGCAGGCCATGCTGGAGGAGATGCGCCTCAAGCAGCAACGCCTGGTGCGTGCTCGTGCCGGGTGATGGGTGCTGGTTGCTCAGTGCTGTGTGCTGTTGCGAGGGGTTCTGGAGGGAAGACTTGGGGTGTGGTGACTGGGGAAAGGTGGTTGTGTGAGGGGAGGATGGCATGTGCAGTGTGTGTTGGAGGTAAGAGTGGATGGATGTTATGAGGCACGTGCATGCTCAGTTGTCGATGTGGTAGTCATGGGGACTAGAGTAACGAACTTTTTTTTTTCCAATCCCTTGTTCTTCTTGTGAACTTCCTGCCAAGCGTTACATACACGTTATTGTTTAGCACATATACATACGCAAGCGTGTGCAGGAAATTTGCGTGGCTTGCAAACGTCTACACTTTGTGGAGTTGTCGCCTTGAATCAAATTTTCCCCTCTTCTGATTGCTGCACTACATTTTTCTCCCCGTTGGCGCAGGCTGATGGTCAACAAAAGAAGGTGAAGAATGGTGCAACAGGAGATGATGATGACAAGCCAAAGCGAAAAATGCCCTCGAAAACAATCAAGGAGCGCAAAAGATGATATTTAGCAAGACTACTTCCGCAACATGGTACTGGCTTAGTAATACCGTACATTCTAAACATTTGTAAAGCTATTGTTGTGTACATTTAACATGTTATCAGTTGTTCTCATTGACCACATATATGAGGTGCTGGTATGGATGGGTAAGTGTTATGAGTGCAATTGAGTGATCGAGCGAGAATTGCACTATCGAAGCAAGACTACAATGGGCGAAGGCATGAGCGAAGAATATATAGCGAAACTACAGTGGTAACGGTAATGGACTGTGGTTGTCGCGCGACGGGCCTGGGACTGAGGTTTGGGGAAATGTCGAAGCGGAGGCCCGGAGCGCGGGTTACCCGCCGAGCCGTGAGGTCGGGGTGCAACGTGCGAAGGTGGCGGGAGGATTGTCGATGCGAGGGTTGCGAGTGGTAACGGTGCTGACTGTGGTGCTACAGTGGTGTACGCGCTGAGCGGGGACGCGAAGTAAGGAAAAGGAATTTTCCTTACACTACCCCCCCCCCTAAGGAGGTCCTCCTTACGAAAGCGTGTGTACATCCCTGAAGTTTCTACTGCGCACATACTCTGTGAGGACGGGGTGGTTTTCGACTCTGTCCAGGGGAACCCAGTTGTCTTCCGTGGGTGTACGGTCTTTCCAGCGGATCAGGAACTCGATCCTTCGGGCTCCTCGAGGGGCACGAACTATATGGCTCAGAATTTTCTCGGGTGTGATGATTGGTTCAGTCGGCGGTCGTGTCATGCTGGCTGGGCGATTACGTGGCAGTTGGCTTGTAGACGGTATGAAGGGGTGAAGTAGGCTGACATGGAAGGACGGGCTGACGTACCAGTCTGCAGGGAGGAGGAGATGGGCGGTGACGGGCGTAATCATGTGGCTGATGCGGAATGGTCCACAGTATCGGGGGCGAAGTTTTGGGGTGATGGGCAGGCGGAGGTTCTAGGTGTCAAGTAAAACTAGGTCGTCGGGCTGGTAAGTATCAGGTCGGCGGTGGCAGTCGGCGTTACGTTTAGCAATGATGTTCGATTTTTATATTGCGTCTGCTGCCCGAGTCGGTGCTGCTTGTAAAATTTCGGCGAACTGTTGTGCTCGTGGCACCGGGTTGTCGGGATTCGGGGTCATGGGTACTGTCGGGTCTTGTCCGTAGTTCAGGTAAAACGGCGACTGTTGGGTTGTGGCGGAGGGTGAGTTATTGTACGCGAATTCAATGAGCGGCAGTTGCTGTTCCCAAGTGGTTGGGTCGTCGCACGTGGCCCGAATGAGTTGTTACATTGCCTGATTTGTCCTCTCTGTCTGTCCGTCGGTCTCGGGGTGGTATGAGGAACTGAACTGTAGTCGCGTGCCGAATTGTTGCCACAGGTTCCGCCAGAAGTTGCTAGTGAATTTCGTGTCTCGGTCGCTTATGATCGCTGGTGGTATCCCGTGCAGTCGAACGACGGTGGAGATGAAGAGGCGTGCGGTTTCTTCGGCTGTGATTGATTTTTTGCAGGCTGCGAAGTGTGCCATTTTCATCAGTCGATTGAGGACGACCAGGATCGCGTCGTTCCCACTTGCCCCGGCCAGTAACCCCGTGACGAAATCCATCGTCACCTGCTGCCAAGCACGCTCTGGGGGTGGTATCGGCTGCAACTGTCCTGCCGGCCGCTTCCGCGATGATTTCATGAGCTGGCAAGTGGGACACGATGCCACGTGTCGTTGTACGTCGGTCAACATCTCAGGCCAGTAATAATACCGCTGCAGCTGCTGCCATGTTTTCTCTACCCTGAAATGCCCTGAGGTAACTCCATCGTGTGCCTCCTGTAATAATAATTCCCGTAGCAGTGTGTACCCTGGTACCCAGATGCGGTCGGTCCCGGCTTTTACGTAATAGACTCCCTTTGCTGCTGCGAACTGCTGCGAATTTCCTCCTATGAAGAATGGATTCGTTTGGTAACCATGGGTAAATAGGCCAGTCAGTAGTGGGCTTGTCTGGGCGAGTAGTATTGCATGGATCTAGGCAGTGGGGCGGGTCAGAGCGTCAGCGATGTTCGATGCCCCCTTTTTGTAGGTGACTGTGTAGTGGAAATTTGACTCGAGGAAATCGAGCCAGCGGATCTGTCGTGGGTTGAGGTGTGGCTGTGCGCGGAGGTACTGTAGTGATTTATTCGTCGGGGGGTGCCAGGCTTTCACTGTGTCTAACTTCTTTGGGTCAATTTCGACCCCAGCCTCCAAAATAACGTGCCCCAAAAACTCTAGCCTGTCCTGAAAAAACTCGCACTTGGAGCCCTTTGTCAGTAGCCGATGCTCGTCTAAAATTTTGAAGACTGCTTCCAGATCTTCGAAGTGCTGCTGCTTGTCGCGACTTTAGACGAGGATGTCGTCGAGGTAAACTATCACGCATTTATCTAAAAGTGGCATAAATGCCTCGTTCATGGTCATCTGAAATGTCGCCGGTGCGTTGGTCAGCCCTAAAGGCATCACGGTGTAGTCGAACGACCCATACCTAGTCCGGAAAGCTGTTTTGGCACAGTCCGATGGTTCGACCCTAATCTGATGGTAACCTCCCGTAAATCTATTTTCGAAAAAACCCGTGATGTTCGCATATGGTCAATCAGTTCGTCGGAGCGGGAAATGGGGTACCGCGACTTGACTGTTACCCTGTTGAGCGCTCGGTAATCGATGCACATGCGAAACCCTCCGTCTTTTTTTGGCGTGAACAGTATCGGTGCGACGAACGGTGACGAGCTCGATCGGATGAATTTCTTCGCTAATAAGTAATTTAAGTGTTTCCTCAGTTCATCGAGCTCGGGTTGTGTTAGTCTGAACTGTCGCTGTACAGTTGGCTGTGCCCCCGGTTCTAATTCTATTCGGTGGCCATGTGCTCGCTGAGGTGGCAGTCCTTCTGGTAAGTCGTCGGGAAAAATCCCGGGGTATCATTTCAACAGTTCCTGTAGTTCAGGCGGTACTGTTGCCAGCAGTTTCTTGAAATCACTCGGCTGCTCTACTTCCTCTATCACTGCAATGTCTACTGCGTATCAGAACATTATAGCTTATGCTATTGTGTAGGCTATAGTGGGGTATCCCATAGGGGGTACAACCCAACTAGGGTTTCATATTTGTACTCGCTTCATTCATAGTTCACCATCATTCTCTCGTTCTCATTCTCACATGGAATCAGAGCAGATCCCCTCCTAGGGACTGTTCCTAGGGCCCACCGAAGCGCGCCTCGAGTCGCGCTCTCTCCTTTTTTTTCTAGCGGCCCGTCGTGCCGCCCTTACGGTCGCGTCGAGCCGCCCTAGCGGCCCCGCCGCCCTACCTAGCGGCCCCGCCGCCCTACCTAGCGGCCCCGCCGCCCTACCTCGCGGCCCCGCCACTCTACCACGCGGCCCCGCCGCCCTATCTCGCGGCCCCGCCGACCTACCCAGCGGCCCCGCCGCCCTTCTGCAGCGGCCCCGCCGCTCCTCTGCAACGGCCCCGCCGCCCTACCCAGCGGCCCCGCCGTCCTTCTACAAGGGCCCCGCCGCTTCTCTGCAGCGGCCCCGCCGCCCTATCTAGCGTCCCCGCCGCCCTCTCTGCAGCGGCCCCGCCGCTCCTCTGCAGCGGCCCCGCCGCCCTACTTGAGCGGCCCAACCGAGCCGCCCAGCAGCAGAGCAGCCGAGCCGCCCAGCAGCAGAGCAACCGAGCCGCCCCGCCGCCGAGCCGCGCTGCAGCCGAGCCGCCCGGCCGCCCACCAGCCGAGCCGCCGTGCAGCCGACCGCCCAGCCGCCGAGCCGCCCAGCTGCCGAGCCGCCCTGCAGCCCAGCCGCCCGAGCAGCCCTGTCCGGTGAGCACAGACCCTCTGTCACTGCGTGCCCTTCCCCTACTGCTTGCACTGCTGGTCTCCTACTGTCATGGCTACCCCTAGTGTCCTCGCTTTTGACGCTGAGGGTCGGGCCATTGACTTTGAGGTCTGGGTAGATGACCTACAGCTGTTCTTATAGTGCGATAGGGCGGACGGCCTCTCTCTCTTTGACCTCACCTCTGGCGCTTCCCCTGCCCCTGCTGCTGATGCTGACGCCACAGTTCGCTCCCAGTGGGCCACGCGCGATGCTGCTGCACGTCTTGCTGTGCGTCGCCACCTCCCTACCTCTGAGCGTGCACACTTTAGTCAGTACAAGAGTGCTCAGACCTTGTACGACGCTGTAGTCGCGCGCTACTCCTCCCCTTCCACTGCTGCACTGAGCCGTCTCATGCTGCCGTACCTCTTCCCTGACCTTGCTGCCTTTCCCACCGTTGCTGACCTCATTACGCACCTCCGCACTAGTGACACTCGCTACCGCGCTGCACTTGCTGCTGACTTCTGCACCGCGAACTCCCCCCCCATGTACATCACTCTGTACTTCCTAGTCACTCGCCTCCCTGACTCCCTTCGAGTAGTCAGGGACCACTTTCTCTCAGTCTGTCCCACCACACTCACTGTTGATCTCCTCGAGAAGGCCCTCTTAGCAGCGGAGAAGAGTATAGTCGCTGTAGGAGCCTCTCGAGGTGACCCGCGCACCCCCATCTTTGAGGGGTGTTCCCCCTCCCCCCTGCTGCCCTCTGTTGCCTCTGCTGCTACAGCCGACCTCCTTGGTCTTGAGTCAGTCGGTGCGGCGTCTGCCCCTAGCGGGAGACGCCGCCCTGGCAAGGGCAAGGGGGGCAAGGGAGCTGGAGGAGCGGGTGGTGGAGGTGGAGGTGGAGGTGGTGGGGGTAGTGGGGGTGGCGGTGGGAGTGGAGGTGCGGGTGGGGGGGTCGGTGGCGGCGGTGGAGGCGGAGGCGGCGGCGGCGGTGGCGGTGGGAGCGGAGGTGGCGGAGGAGGCGGCGGTGGAGGCGGCGGTGGAGGCGGCGGTGGAGGCGGCGGCAGTAGCGGAGGCGGCGGAGGCGGTGGGGGTGGCGGTGGAGCTGGTCGCGGGTCTTCTCAGAGGAGTGGCTCCGGTCGTGGCGCGCGCCAGCAGCAGCAGCGCGGTCGTGAGACCCTGTCCCCTCAGCAGCTCCGTGAGTGGTACAC